CGGAAGACCGCGATTTAGTGGGGAAGCAAGGCAATGGTATGAAAAAAGAAAATCAGGAACTAGAAAAGACCGCATGAACAGCACCCATCACGTGACCGGCGTTCTTTCAATACAGCCGTGAGGACATTGAATATGTACTCAAAGCCCTCCTGTTAGCTATGCCTAATGTGGAGAGCAGGGTGCCAGTTCATGTGTTCACCACGGTATTGGACTGCGATTCAAAATTAGAAGGCTTTTTGTCGCTGGCTTGCGGACCTTTATATCTTCAGAAAAAGTAGACAAAAGCCTTCAATACAATAAACAATATACGAGAAGGACAATGGCAGATAAAATAAAGCAGTTATGATGTAATAGTAATGAACATAAAATAACTGTTCGAAAATAAAATAACCCAAACACATAATTATAGCAGTTTTTTTTTTTTTTTTTTTACCATTCGTTATAAAAACATATGTGATAAAAAATTTTGATCGATTCGATTTCTTACTGTCGTCACACTCAAAAACAAACCAAATGTTATTTTAACGGGCCTCTTAATCTCTCGATCAATTGACGAGGATGACATCCTAACTCGCAATCCACTCTCCAAACTTCTACTCTTAGCCGATCTGAGGACCTTGACTCAATAAAAAGTCTCATTTTAAAGCTGGCTCGCGTTTTACGAATCGAAATTTAAAGAATACCAAGCTTCCAAAAGAATAACTTACAGTGTTCTCAAATTATGGATGTAGGATCCAATAGTTCTCAAGATAACAACGCAGTCTTCGCGCGCAGGCGCAGCTAATGAGAACTGAAACTGTGGAAACTTTTGAACTAGTGAAAGTAGAACCAAAACTTTTAAGAGAGGAGAAAGAAGAACGAGAGAGGTGCGCGAGCAGGCGTTACCTTCTGCATATCATCGTCAAACTTATCTGTTAAAATAGCTACCTTTTTAATTAATTTTTGTTTAAGTTTTAAAATAAAATAGAAGAAAGACAAACGTCTTGGACCCCTTGTTGTCTCCCACAAATTATGGGGGCTCGGCCGGGATCGAAAAATTTCGATTTTGAACCAAAGTCTGGGACAATGAACAAAAGCGTCCGTGAAGGAGACGCTCCGCCATTTTTTGAAACTTCGTTCAACCTGTGTAGAGGTTTGAACTCAGCATGAATACTCCGCCTGTGTAGAGGCCGGGATTGAAAAAATTTCGATTTTGATCAAAGTTTGGAACGAGAACAAAAGCCGTCCATGGAGGAGACGCGCCGCCATTTTTCGAAAACTTCGTTCCGCCTGTGTAGAGGTTGGAACCATCGACAAATATTCCGCCTGTGTAGAGGTTGGAACCCATCGACGAACATTCCGCCTGTGTAGAGGTTGGAACCACTCACATAAACACCTGCGAAGAGGTGTCAATTCGAACAATTTCAACTATAACCTGCGAAGAGGTGAAATCAGTGGAATCGAAGTTTTTCTTCAATTATTGGATACATCGTACGTGCGAGCAACAAGGGAGCCAGAAAAAAAAAGGTAGGATCTTTCCATATTTTTCTAAAATGTATAAAAACGCTCTTAAAGAGGATCTCATAAGAGTTGTTGAGGATCTAGACGGTACTGTGGAGAGTACTGACACCATAGTTAAACTAAAGACTAAAATTGAGAACAGTAGTACATTTGAAAGTGATCCAGATTTCGTTAAAACTTTAATTCAAAACTGTATAGATGAGAGAGTATCGCGAAACGAAAGAGAGGTAACTTTAGAAAAACAGAAAATTGAGCTCGCGAAACTACAGTTAGCACAGTTAGAAAAAGAAGTCGAACTTCAAAGGGCTAAAAATAAAGCATTAAGTTTAAATCCTGCAGCTAAAGTCGAAGAGAAACAGTTCGAAACTTTAAATAAGGAAACTGCAACTCATATTGGCATTCGAGAAGCAGAAGATTGGTTCAGGCCTATTGATTTAGCTAAAGAGTGCGATATTTATATTTCATCTAGAAGCGGATCACATAAAGAAATTCCTATTACTTATGGATATACCCAAGACCCCTTTAAAAATAGATCACAAAACTTTAAACCAAAGATTAAAGAGAACTATCCCCAATATCTTGAAAGAGAAAAATAAAAATGGCTTTATATGCGGTGATTCATCTCATTGCGCAAGAGACTGTGAGAAGCGTTTTAAACCTAAAGAATCTAACGACCACATCCATAATAGAATAAACGTGAATACTTTGAAAGTCGAGAGTGAAAAACAAAATAGCGATGAATTCGAACAATTTCAATATGTAAACATTTTTGTGGAAAATCAGCCCGTAACAGCCTTGATCGATTCAGGTTGCCAGATCCCAGTTTTAAATTCCTCACTAATTAGAGTGCAAACACCTTCCGAAGAAATCATAACATTAAGTTCATGTTTTGGCGAACAGCGAATGGTAGAAGTTAAACCCATAAATATTTCTCTTAATCAACTCTCTCCCGGTCTAAGTGTTCGAACGGCAATATCACCGACCTTGACCGAAGAATTTATTATACATCCCAGTGCATATGCTGAAATAAAGAAACTAGGCCACGCAAAGAGCGATGTTTTATTGAGTGAAAGTGGATCCTCTTTGGGTGTTCATTTTAATTCAAATGTTTCTTTTTCAAATGTGATAGAAAACTCTAGTTATGATTTGCCTCATGTTAAAAACTTTAATACTAGAAATGATTTGAGTTCTCTAATTAAGGATTATAAATGTAATAAAATTAAGAGTACTAAGTTAAAATTGAGTATTATAAGAGAAAAATGTTCTGATATAGTATTGTGTAAGAAAGTAAATGGTGCCATGAAAACGAGTTCCGTGAACTTCAACGCCCCTTCACCTATGGAGAGTAAACATCGACGGTTTGCGTTGCTCCGGAAAATCTTCCAGCCCTGGCAGTGGAAACGAAGGAAAAAGAGAAATCGTTTTGAACAGACGTCCAGAACTCTAGAGAGGAAAATATCGATGCGTTCAACCAAAGATCAACTTGTTAAAAAAGACGTTCTTATGCCTGTGAAACACAATGTTTTCCTGTGGAACCTTCCGGATGTCGAAGAGGTGCCTTCACATGATGGAGAAACTGTCTAGTTCAGAAGAATTATGATTTGTTAAATCTTTGTATATTTGTCGTATAGTCCTTGTCTGTTCCGTTTTTTGTATATTTCAGATTCTCCTCTGGTCTCGATGAAAAAGGAGGAAGTACCGCTGCGGACAGCGTACAGTCAGGATAGCCGGATGTAGGATCCAATAGTTCTCAAGATAACAACGCAGTCTTCGCGCGCAGGCGCAGCTAATGAGAACTGAAACTGTGGAAACTTTTGAACTAGTGAAAGTAGAACCAAAACTTTTAAGAGAGGAGAAAGAAGAACGAGAGAGGTGCGCGAGCAGGCGTTACCTTCTGCATATCATCGTCAAACTTATCTGTTAAAATAGCTACCTTTTTAATTAATTTTTGTTTAAGTTTTAAAATAAAATAGAAGAAAGACAAACGTCTTGGACCCCTTGTTGTCTCCCACATACATGTGGTTTAAAAAAGGCAGAAAAAATAAAATACATATTTAACATCAAGATCCAGGATCAAGTCATGCCTAAAGTGTATCCTTTAAAAGATTATATGTAGTTCTTCTGTATCCGGACCTAGATTATTCAGTTGAATACTCCTATTTTAATAAAACACTGTTTTGGACATTATGCTGTGCAATATGTAACTTGTGCGTTTTACAAAAATCAACAAATTTAAAAGATAATTTCAGGCCTGTTCCAAAGTCATTTTCTTTTAGCTCGAAGGGATGAAAATAAATCTATTTGAACTAGAAATGAAACATTGAAATTGTCCAGAAAAATATCAGTCTTCCTTACAGAGTAGCAACGCTAATGATTCATAATATCCATTGATTAAACTATCTGGAAATATTCTGAAATTTTTTTTGGTAGAAAAATATTTTATTTAGAATCGCATATTTGAAATAAAAAAAAAAACTCCACCAGTCACAGATGCCAACCACACTGAAGAATTGCTCTTTTATAACAGGAGTGGGAATATTCTCTTCTCTCCATGTGAAAAGAACCGCTAGACTTAACCTACTCAAGCGGCTGGGTTGAGGAAACGGGGAGAAAAATAAAAGGTCATTCGAAAAATAACTTGTAGTGTTAAAAAAAAATGGTCGCATGCACTCATCAGGTTAATTATTTCATTTATCTGGAAATGTGTTTTCACTGCAAGATCTGATTTTCGACGAGGAAAGTTGAGTTAAGTTACTTTCGCGGCTAGAACTGGGACAACGATCAAGAGAAGGTCGCGGTCGCGAAAGCTCGAACGAGGAGGGTGAAAAACTGAGCATGCGCGCTTCGATTGAAACACGCCTCACTGCAAGTTACGCATTTCGGCAACAAAATGTTTGTTTTTAAAGCTTAAAAATTTGAAGTTACTTTTCACAAAATATTATTTACAGGATTATAAAAAACGTTCATGAACCCCTTCACCTGCACGATCGAATTAATTCGATTGCTCTAAGCAGACCAAACTGCGCGAAATCGAGATAATTCGATCGGAATCGTATTTTATGCCGCTGTAATTTGCGCACTCGAATAAAAACGATTGCCGTCTGCACTCGCAAAACTGACTACGATTCGTCGTGGTGATTTCGTAAAGTTTAGAGTAAATTTACAGGAATATTATAAAAAAGTATTTTTATTTGCTAGACATCAGCATTTGGAACGCGTATGTTTTTTATTAAACACACAAGTAATAAGAAAAAAAATGTAAGCCAATTCCTACTTAGGTCAACAAAAAAAATTCTAATTTAGTTACTTTTTATTAAATAATTACAATTAGAATAAATATGTCTATACATAGGCTAGAATCACACTATTAAGTGGCACAAAGCGATTTTCCTTCCTATATAGGACTATTTGTGTGTGTTTTACTATGTATTCAATTAATTTAATTATTCTAATGAAATAGTATAGTATAAACAAAGAAATCACATTCTCAGAAATTAGACCATACCAAGTGGGATTCGAGCCCACAACCTTTGAATTAGAAGTCCAACGCGCTATCCATTGCACTACAGCTCAGCGGTCAAACTCGCGGCCAACTGCGAACATTTTTGCGGCCCATCCAATATATTCCCACACAATAATACATAATAAAATCAGAAAAATGATTCCCGATATTAGAAAGATAGCAGCAAAAAAGAGATGTCAAGTGTCAGGATAGGAACATTATTTGTTTTCTCCTTATATATATGTGTGTGTGTGTTTATTATAATGTATTATTCGAAATGAACCTATATACGTTTCTATAAATAATAATTTTTTGTTTGTTTTGTGGCTTGCTTAAAGTTAAACCTTGTTTACTTGGCCAGAGTTAGCTTTTGAGTTTAAAACCCTTGCACTACAGAACACAACGAACAATTTTTCTTTCTATATATGCTGTTGGACTATTATTTTTGTTTGTTACTCTTTATTCATTTTTTAATTTAATTAATGAATTAATATTTGAACAACTGTATTATAACATCAAGTATCATCCACTACAATTTTTTTTAAAAAATGCATTTGAACTCGAATGGATGAATAGAAAAAGTATTTTATTAACGACTGAAAATTTGAACAAGATATATATATTGCGAGAGGGTGAAGTAATAGTAGGAATTGTGAAATTGAAGGTGAAAAAATAATTTGGATTTCGGTAGCAAATTACTATAAAGACTTAAACAAAGTTATCATAGCGATAGAAAAAACTAAAATCGGGTAAACTAAAATCTCTTCTGGAATTCTACGACTAAAGGAACGTCATTTTCCTGATTTTGTTCTACCAACATTCAAAAACAAACTACGGTATGTGCTGTGTTCAAAGGGAAAGCAAAGGGAAAAAGAAAAGAATCGTTGCGCATGTGTAATCATCGCAATGTAGGGCTGTGTGCTACACCTTACTTACAAATATACGAGACAAAAGAAAATTTTGAATATTTCCTTAAATAAATAATACTATTATTTCAGAGTTGAAAATGTATAGATAAATATTTTTAATGATAATTTTTTTTTTCCGAAATCGCAGTTCAAATAGAAAGATAATAAAAGTCAATGTTTTATTCTAAAAATCGGCTCTTATCTGCAATGTGGATCAAAATCAAAAATTAAAAAAAAAGAATTGATTGATTTTTTATTTTTATTTTTGACCAATACAAGATTTTAAAACGTATTCCCTTAAATAAAAAAATGGGGTTCTTTTGCCGGTTTTTCTCAAAATAAGAGTGCATTAGGGGGTCAAATTTTTTCATGTTAGGTTATGGTAAAGTATGAATTTTTAAATAAAAATAAATGTCTTAATTTATCACTAATGTAAAAAATCCAGTCATGATAGCTATTTAAAGCTTGCGAAAACAAATGTTCTCATAAATAAGAAGCTTCTAACAGCACTTAAAAATTAAAATAAACGTACGATAAAAAAGTTATCATTAAATTAAAATTTTACTAAGCTTTCCAGATGTTTTTCAATAACTTTAAAAACAATGTGAAAAACTCTGTGGGAAAAGGTGTATAAACATGAAAATAAATCAAAGGACTTTGGCAAAAATAATATATTACGTCAGTCTGTAAGCTCTTTGTAAGGTTTTGCAGGAAAAATAATCCTCATACTTTACGTCACTATTAATTCGCTTTATATTCTTATAAAAAAGTTATCTTCTTTAAAAAAATGTAAATATATTAATTAAACTTTTAAAAAATTTAAAATTCTTAGGTAAAAATATTTAAGAGTGTTCCAAACAGATAATAGATGTTCCAAATAATTGTTTTTTCAAAAACTCAATTCATTCACAAAACTTTTCTTAAAAAATAAGCCATGTAAAAAGTTTGGGAAGAATTAATTTCAAAGTATTAATATGGAAGATTTTTTTTTGATCATATATATATAAAGCTATTTTTCTCATTGGTTGAGAAAGCATTTGTAAGAAAATTGGACAAATAAAAAATAAATCAAAATTTGATGTATTAAATCATTAGTATAAATATTTAGAATGTGCACAAAGTATTCTTTTAAAATTACATAACTTTTTAAAAAAAATTTTTTTTACTACTAAGTTGTGTGAATGTGTGGCTACTTTTTACAAAATTATCTAAATTACTACAAAAAAATTGATACAACCACATATAAAAATGCAAATAACATCTTTATAATGAAAGTACAATAAAAATATATTAAACCCTAATGCATCTATCTCACTGGCGAATAAATGAATTAAAACATGTTTTAAATGCTTTTTGAGTTTTAAAATTGAGTTTAAACAATGTACTTTAACCAGATCAAAAAGGATTATCTTTCTCTTTTTTTTGTTTTTTGAACACAAAAAGTTATTCTAATATTACTGTAAGGATCTACTGCCTGCACCCGGCAACAGGTTGAACGAGACACACGATATAGGGGAAAGGATCTGGCAACGAGAGAGGAGGGAAGGGTCCGAAGGAGGAGAGAAGGGGGAAGCGGTGGCGCGAAAAACGTGAGCGGATAAAGGAAAGACTGCGGGACGATGGTTTGTAATCTTGGATCATCTGAATATATTCTTTTTCTTATGAAATGTCCCATGGAAGATGTACAATAAAAAGAGGTACAAAATCCTGACTGCAAATATTTTTTTTTCAATTACCTATAATTTGTAATTCTTATAAATATTTAGTAAAGCTAAGTTTATTTAAAAGGAATTAATATTTTTTATAAATAAGCCTCCCCCTCCCTCTTCCATATTTTTAGTAATTTTACATTATTTTATAAAAAATACTTTTTCTTCCGAATCTTCGTTTTTCTTCAATATTTCTTCACAGGATATTTTCATTAACACCATGAATCATAGTTAAAAAAAACTTTCAAAGTTTCATTGAATAAGATACTTTTTTTTAAACAGTGGATGGATTTCTGTATCTTAAAACAAAAATGACAAATTACTAAAACTTGATCCACACTTAAAATAAATATATAGTCAGCGATATTTTTCAAGAAATAAATGCAATTGAATTAATTTAATATTTAATAAAATATTTATTTAATATTTAATAAAATATTTATTTTACATTTAATAAAATATTTATTTTACATTTAATAAAATATTTATTTCATATTTAATAAAATATTTATTTTATATTTAACTAAATATTTATTTTATATTTAATAAAATGTTTATTTTATATTTAATAAAATGTTTATTAAATATTTAATAAAATATTTATTAAATATTTAATAAAATATTTAATAAAATATTTAATAAAATATTTAATAAAATATTTATTAAATATTTAATAAAATATTTATCATTGCATAAGCCTAAAATATTTTTAAGCAGAGTGGGAAAATGAAAAAAAAATTTAATCGGAAAAATAAAATTTTTCATTCAAGTAACATTTTTAATTACAAAGAAACAAAACACTGACTTTTCAAACTCGTAGTTAAATTTGTACAACAGGAAGAAATTTCATATTTAATTTTTAAGTCAGGTTACAATAAAGGGGGAGTATAGAAGGTAATTTGCATCTCCGAAAAAAACACAATGTGCTTAACTCATGTCCTGTCATAATCGCATGATAACTACAATCCCGTATTTCCAGCCAATCAGTTCTTAAATTCATATGACGTCATAATTACGTGATAAATGCAATCGTGTTTTTTCAGCTAATTAGATCATGCACTTCACTGTTTCAAACTGTTGCTTTTTGTTGAAACTTTCTTTAAAAAAGTGCACAGTTGTCAACAATAATAATGCACATAAGTAAACACAAAACTCCTTTTAAGATTACCTTTATAAAAAAGGATTTTTTTAAAAAAAATCTTTTTGATGAAATTTTTTTTCTGTATAATTCTTGAACAAAATTACCCAATTACAAAATTTGAAATTTTATTTAAGTTTAACAAAAATAGAGCAACAAGTACTGGTTAATTTAATGTCAGTTTTGTCAATTCAATAGAGAACACACGTGATTGCCTTTATCATGAGACAATCATGAATTGAGTCCATTACTTAAACGAAATTAACCCATTGAAATCTTTTAAAGAAAAAAATCCCTGAAAGTCGAAATTTTTCAAAACTGAAGTAATTAATAAGAAATTAATAGTAAGAAGAGAGAAAGCGAAATTATATGTTTATTTACAAAATACATTTTACTCTTTTTCCAAAGGAGAAATTTATTAAGTATTAAAAAATTGTATATATATGTATATGTATGTAATTCCCTCTCTATAGCATCCTTTTAATTAACTCTTTTAATAATATTTAAACAAGCTTTAGTTTTTTGGTTCAAAACTAACGCCCTAATCTTAATCGTAATCAACTAGTATCAGAAATCCCTTTCCCGCCCATTTTACCCAACCAGAGCTCTTATTACAAAATAGTCACGCGGTCTTCATTGCCGGGTATAAAAAGTGAGTTTTTTTGTGCTTGCTCTCTCTTTGCCTTTGCGTTCGTCATGTGAAATGTCGCTTCTGTTATGTATGTCTGTTTTCGTGTTCTTACCAAAGAGATGTGAAATATAAAGGTCATTGACCATCTACGTTATGTGTGTGTAAATAAACTAGATGAACATTCATTCTGAAGATGTTTTCGCTAGACCAGATGTGCCAACAATCCGAACAGACCAACACCGGCCAACGATACTACATGTATATACATAATATTTTGATTAAAAAGTATATCTAGAATACATTTAAAAAACATATATGGTGGGTATGATCTGCACATTTTTCATCAAATGTTTCTTTTTACTACTTATATAAGCATGTGGCAACACTCAGGAATTTATTTCGCTCGATCATATGGAAATAAATTTATTATCAATGAAAAAGAAGGATTTTCACTTCATTTATTTTCCAACATGCCCTGCTTAAGGTATCCGACTGGGTTCGGAGACAGTTTTCTAAAATATAATTTAAATAATCATTTAGTTGTTATTTTTTAATTAAGTATGTTGCAAAACTATGAAAATAGAGCAAGAAGAATTTTTTGAAAGCTTATTTTCAAAGTATTGAGAAATTTCTACCAAAATATTACAAAAAATTGCTCTTTAGCAAGCAACTCTAAAACTAT